GGTCAGGCATTGGAAGGGGCTGCCCAGGGAGGTGGAGGAGTCCCCACCCCTGGAGGTGTCCAGGGAAGGACTGGACGTGTCCCTCAGTGCTCTGGGCTGGGGGACAAGGTGGGGATTGGGCAGAGATTGCACTCAATCCTGGAGGTCTTTTCCTACCTCAATGATTCCATGATGCAAAGTGACATGGATAAATGGGATTAGCCTCCATCCAAGCCCACGTGTGACACCAGCTGCCATCAGAATCAGACCCACATCTGTGTTGCCCTTTAAAAGCTCCAGCTCTTGGCAACTTTCCAATTTATCATCAATTTACCAAAAAAACAATGATCCCAGTTTTATGATTCAGCAGGAACAGCATCGCTGGGTCGAGCTCCTGGAAGTCTGGAGGCCAGCAGGTTTTTTAATTCTTACTCTGAAGGAATTTCCTTTTTTAATGTTGCTGTGCTCTTGCCCAAGCCCCAGGAAGTCGACTATCTATGGACAGCAGTGACCAAAATTTGGTTTTCCTGGAATTTTCCCTCCTTCCCTCCGCACACCCACACAATGGGCTTTTTAGGATGCCTGCAGTCTGTAATTTGCCTTTCCAGCCTGATAATGTGGCTTGCAGAGGCACCGCTTTTGCCAAGTCATCATCTGGAAGGAACAGTGGCTTGTGCAATGTTCCCTTGGCCCCCGGAGCCACCGAGCCCCGTTCCTGCCCCTCGGGCAGACTCTGGGAACAGGAGGGAGCCCAGGAAGTCTGGGAAAGGGCCCGAAACTTTCCATTTCAGAAGACGCAGCCCAGAAACCAGAAGGCCCAAGAACCCAGTGCTGTGGTTTCCCTTTGCCTGACTGAAGAAAAGAGCTGCTATTTTTACTGAAAATGTGGGACGTGAGGCCCTTCCCTTCCCCTGCTCGAAGGGGGGACGCTGCTCACAAGGAGAGGGTGGGGGGGTCACCCCGGATTAAAACCAGCTGACTGATCCACACAACTCTCTCCCATAGATTCCTCAAATATTTCTTGCCCACACCATGGGAAGATTTATTTGTAAGGTGAGAGGAAGTTAGTCGGGAAAAGGGAATCTGATCTCACCTACAAAAATCCCCCTTTTTCATTTTAAGGCAGGGGGATTGATGTAATTCTCTGCCCCTTTCTCTTCTCTAGTCCTGCATCACCGTGGGCTTCTGGGGGCCTTCAGCAACACAAATCAATGCCACGACATCATTAAAAGTTTGCAGTGTATCACAGGAATTGCAGTAAATTAAAGCCACCTGCCCAGGGGAGGATTGTGGGATTCCAGTGTGTGATTCCAGGGTGTGTGACCTCTGTGTTCACTGTCATGAGGAGGATTCTGAACCTCTAAACCTCTGATCAAAAAGATGCTTTTCATTTTCGACAACCAAAACAATCCTGAGCAGGGAGAACAAAGACTTGGGTCTTGTCTTACTTAGAGGCTTATTAACTTTGTGTGTTTGTTCATCATTAAAAGACTCTTCAGATGACAAGAGAATACTAAATGTGTCAAGATGGCACATGCAGAAGTGACTTCAGGGGTGGGGGAGTAGCTGTTGTGGCACATCCCTCCTTTGGTTCTTTGTTCCTTCGCCTAAAAATACATGTGAGTGTATTTACAGAGGAATATTCCAGCAGGGCTGGTCAGAGGTGTCCAGCTGAGTCCCCTTTGTGTGGCCCTGCATCCTTTTGGGATGCAGGATTTTGGATACCACTTCCATTGCTCTGTTCCCTTCAGAACGGGGTTTTGTGTGGAGTGGGTCCTCCCCAGGAGTGCAGATGGGGGGTATTGCTGTGAGATGAATTTGGGTTTGTCTCCATCCACTGCCCTGTGTCCCGATGAGGGTGCTCTGGAAGGCATTTCCCACCTCTCCCATTTGTGATTAGAATCGTTTGGTCCCACCCGGTCACCCCTTGGGGCTCAGGGGCCTCCAACTCAGTAGAAATGGACCTTTTGAGCCAATCCTCTCAACTCAGGGGGGGAGCTTTTAATGTGCAAGTTTGAAGGCAGTTCATCCCCCTGCCAGTTAAACTGTTGTGTATTTTATAATTTTATACTGTTTTCTGGCACTTCTCGGTAGCCAAGTCAAGACATTGCAGCTTCTTTAGCCAGAGACAAACATCAGAGAGCAGTGGGGCCAGTTACAGCTTCCCAGACCAGTCTGCAGCTTCCCAGACCAGTAAGCAATTCCAGTGGATCAAGGAGAAGCAGCCTCAAGTATCAGAGGCTGGGGAAAGTCACCGTGCAAAATTAACCGAAAGACTTTGAAATTCCTTTGAAATTCCTACAGTAAGCAGCCAGAGAGTGAACTTCTGAAAGGTGTTCCCAAACAATTGCTAATTATTCGGAAGAACCAGTCAGGGCTGACAAAGCCTTATCTCTGCAGCCCCCGCGGTTGTTATCTCCCATGGAGCCGCACCAGGGGGAAATTATGGAAAGCGGCAGGCTCCAAGCCTGCGCACAGCTGATTATTTCCACAGCCTTGAAAAACTTCGCTGAGACACTCCAAAAA